AAGGAGAACATTCTCTAGAACAATCTCACATGCAAAGCCGTGAGAAGACAGAGGTTGCCACATAGCTTGAGACAACTGGGGTGACTTCACAGGGCATTTCCCCACAGCTCTTTTCCCTCAAAAGCAGGAGGAAAGCACCCCCGGCCCCATCAAAGAAACACTTCCATGGTCCATGTAATACTGTGCACAGTAGGATTAGAGGCAAGAAATGTGGTTCTAGTCTGGATCTTGCTGAATGTTTACTGGGAACTTTGAGGGCATCCCCACCCTGCCTGGTGGTCTGGGCACCATTGTTAATACATTCTCCGGCTCTGTTGAGCATGAACTACAACGTCATTCCCAGACCCTCTGCCTCCCTGGTTGTCATCCTCTGACTGGGACCGTCTCCCACACCTGTTGGCAGTTTGTCCACTTTAGAGACTGAAAAGCTACAGTCCGTAGATCAGTAACCTGAACACTTTAATTGGTGCACAGATGTGCTTTATTCAGTTGGCATAGCTGTTTGGCTTTTTTTAATTCTCAAAATAGTTGCCAAGATGGATTTTGAAAAAATGAAAGAATATGCCTCAAAATATAGACTTCCCAATTATCTCCAGGGAATTTCAGTAGCCTGAGCTGGCACGAGTTCCGAGCCACAGCAGGCAGAGCTGAGCCTTTTCCTGCTCTCCACAGGCCTTGCCCTTTCTGGGCACAGCTGGCCCTCCCGTCCCTGCCTGGCCCCACATGGGAGCTTGAGCCCCTCATGGGGTTCTTCCTTTCTCGGTGCCTCTCCCTGGAATTAGTAAGCAACATGTTGACGTGCCAGGTGCTGGGGTAGAGAGCAGGGCTAGATGCCTCCCTGTGAGTTGTCCTGATCTGGAGGGGACGACAGAAGAGTGAAAGGAAAGCTTCGGTCCCCTCTGGTCATTCAGGTACTTGGGCCCAACAAACCATTGATGGAAAGTGAGAGCTCTTCAGCTGTCCAAGGAATTATCTGAAGTCCCATCCAAATGCAGACCCCCAGCTCCCTCTGTCCCCTGCCGTGCAGTGGAGAGAATCCTGGATTAGAATGACATGTGGCTGTGTCCACGGTTGACATCACCTGATCCGTGCGTGGAAGCCGTGCGTGGCCTGGATGCGGCAGGACCAGGCTGTCCAGCAGGTTTTGGAGGCAGCACAGCCCTACCTCTCACTCCCAGGCTGGCACTGCGTGGTCGTCTGGTGTCTGACCACTCACGCCCGTGTCCCTGCCTATCCCAATCCTGCCTGGTCCCCCTCTCGGCCTCCATCTTTCTGAGGGAAAGGTTGGCCCTGGTTGCTTGCATCTCCTAAACATGAGGCCAGAGGGGTTTGCCCTCGTTGTCTGTTCTCCATCAACCATGATGACTTCACCAAGGAAGGCGTCATCTCTCCTCCTCAGCAGCCTTGGCAAATGTACCCTCTTCCCACGTGGGTTCCATTCTCCTCCTCCTCCCGGGCCTTGGAGACACACACACTGGGTCCAAAGCTGGCTTTGTTCTTAGGATCCTGTGATTTTAGAAAGTTTCTTCATCATTCCCGCTCTGTGCCTCAGTTTCCCCAGGTGTGATGTTGCATAGCCATTCAACTTGATTCAAGAAATATTTCTCTAGAGTCTTCTCAGACTTCATGCAGGGAACTGGTGCTATAAAGGAGACCAAGACAATAACAAAACTCACACACATGGGAGATGGCGTTGATGCCCGGCCCTGAGCCCATCGTCCCGCCTGCACTGCTAGGTTTTATCTTGAGGAATGTAGGACTTGTGACTGGCTTGAGAGACCAAGAAACTGGACCTGGTAAAGCAGGGAGCTTTCCATGTGTCTGGGATGGAGTGGGTCTGGGGTTTCGTCTGCTCCCTTGGGGATCAGGTATTTTACCGTCTGGACCAGAAGTGCAAGGACTGCAATAGATGAGAGACAGCTACTATCAAGGGGTCCTGAGGCCACATGTGTAAAGACCTCACAGAAGACCAGGTGTATAGTAGGTCCTTTAAAAAAATTAAGTTTTCTCCCTTCCTGTACGGGGAGTGCCGGGTATCAATGCCATCCCTGGTCTGCAGACCAAGAGGGCAGTGTGCCCCAGTCCCCCAGCTCTGCTCCTGCCCCACCAGACCTCCCCACGGCTTGCCAGAAACAATCTGAGTGTTCGCCAGAGCTGAGGTCCACTCTGCACGAGGTGGGAGGAGGCTGGACACGGGAAGTGGTTGTCAGAACCTCCAGAGGCCAGGCGGCTGCTCCGTGTAGAGCTCCTGCCGCCTCCCCCATCCCTGTGGCATCAGAAGGCACATTGTGGCCATCAGAGCAGGGTCCAGAGGGCAGGCTGCCTGAAATCAGATCCTGACTGCTGTTTCCTCCTCCCCCCATGCATTTCCCCCTGGGTTTTCAGGACATTGCCTGTCCACTGGAGGCAGGCTGGAGGCTGCTCTCCCGCCTGCCATGGGTGACCCCTCCTGGAAGAGGTCTGCTAGATGCTCTCGGACCAACGGCTGTTTCCACTGCTTCCAGTTTCTTCTTTCCCTCTTTGTAAATGGCTCCCACAGTTGTTAGGGTTAATCACCATGCAGGATTTTGCTCTTGTTCCTGAACTTACAGCATCAAACAAGCAGATAGTTATTAACCCCCTACTGTGTACATGGCAATGAACCAGTGCTGTGGGTCCTATGGTGGGGGAGGAGACTTGGAGGTGGTGGAGCCCGCACTGAAAGCCCTGAGTTCTAGTCCCACTTAACATGCAGATCAGACTCTTCAAGGGGAAATGGGGCTGCGACTGGAGGGGCTGAGACCCTCATCCCTGAGCTGGGCAGACAGTTTATGAGGGTGGGGTCCTGGGGTGGGGGTGAGGAGATCAGGGCCATTGCTGCCGAATGCCTGCTTTGTCTAATCTCAGTTGACTTTCCTCAAGTTCTGGTTCTTCTTCTGTAAAAGAGGTGGAAAAGACCCACCACACAGGATTGGCGTGAGGACTGAGATGAGATTGAGTGTGGGAAGCCCAGGGTGGGGTGGACCCTAACCCGGGGGCTGCTCCCTCCTGCTCCTCTGATGTCCGAGTTCCCTGCCCCCTCCTCCCACTGCCCCTGCTTGTACCATTGCACTTGTCCTGTGATCAACAGTGCAGGTGGTAGTTAGGGTGGTATGTGAAGTTGGTCTAAACGAGTAATTCCCAGACCTGGCAGTGTTTCCAAAGTCACTGACCTCTCAGACTTGTCCCAGAGCTGTCCAAACTAGTGGCCTGTGTACCTGTATTTACAACAAGCTCCCAGGTAATTCTGCAGCAGCCAGACCGTTTGGGATCTCCTGGCTTCTTGCATCTGGAGATGATGGCTGTGTGACCTCAGGTGGGGCCCTTCCCCTCTCTGGGCCATAGTTCTCTTTATTGTCAAATAAATAGGGAGGTTTAATTTCCAGTAGATGATCACTAAAGATCCGTCTACTCTAATATGCTGTGAGACTCTGAAACAAGCAAACAGCGACAAGGTCAATGAGTGAGCTCATCAGAGGCTTCGTGCAACAAACACTTTGAAAGAGTACAAAACAGTCCAGGGGCCTGTCAGCATCCCTGGAAATGTAAGGGGTGGGGAGACTAAATTCACCCGAATTGCTGTCAAAGAGAGTGCTGAGTGTGGTGAGAAGGGGCCTCGCATAAGCTCTGCGGGGTTGAGGTGCTGTGAGACCCTCAGAGTCACTTTGAAGTAAAAACCGCTCTCTTGGATGCACTGTCTGGAGGGATGGGTCCTGTGAGGGGTTCCTGCAGGGCTGTGGCTTTGCCGAGAGAGGCGAGCAGAGCTGCGCTGGAGCAGCTGGGTGGAGTGTGGCTGAGCCACAAGGGTGAGTCCACGAGCCTGCCTGGCACCCTCCACCAGCCCTCATCCTTAGGGGGCACCCTGCACTGGCACCTGCGCAGCCCCCGGCCAGCTCTGCCTGGTCCCTCAGTGGCTCCAGCCCCAGGCAAATATCTCTCAACAAAAGTAGATGCCATCCCCAAAGACTTGCCAAGATGAGCGAGTTATGGAGAAAACGAAGTCCAGGCACCACTAAAAAGTTCTGTTCAGTAAACGGTCCCTTTCTGTGCCCACTGTCGACTCACGTGTGCCCCCAGAGGGAGAAAAGGGAACAGTCCGCAGAAGTGGCAGCCTTTGCCATTTTTTAGTATTTATCGCCCTCTAGTGACAATGTGATCTTATTCTCGCTGAGAGCACAGCCTCTCTTTAGCTGGCTGTTCAATCAGTTGATTCTTCAAACATTTGTTGAACACCTTCTTTACACCAAGCTCTGGGGTTGTCACTGTGTGAGATGCAGAGGGACAGGAGGGCCCTCTGTTCTCAAGGGCATGGGGGTCAGAGGAGCACAGTGGCACCGGCCTTGAGCGTGGAGGAGGGAGTGATTAATTCCACCTGGGCAATTGGAGCAAATTCATAGAGGTGGAGGCATCTGAGAAGGGAGCTGGGGGAGGGTGGCGTATCTTTAGAGAGAGCTGCCCAGACAAAGACTAGGGGTGTGTCTCCCAGAACTCGTGTGGGGGCCCACGATCGTCAGTGATGGAGGTGACGGGGAGACAGGGAAGTGGTGGACAGCTCTGGGGCATGAGATCCGTTATTCCGAATTCCGGGCGATTCAAAGCTGAGCAATGCTTGGGAACCACTGTTCTAGAAGATCTTTGTTAATGGGTGAGCCCATGGTGTGTGGGTGTGTAAGCGTGCACGCACATGATATGTATTTATTTTAAATGCTCAAATGTTTTAACTATATAGCAGAATAGATAATATAAAAGATGATTATATACCCATCACCCAAATATGACACATGGTAACATTTTGCAAACTTTACTTCAGATCTCTTCTTTTTGCTTTTTTCCCTTTTTGTTTAAAAAATAAGGTATCATGAATAAAATGGAAGCCCCCACCCCGTCATTGTGTCCCCTGCCCTTCTCCTCCCTCAGAGGACCGTGGCACCGGGAGGCTGCTCCGTGCACGTTTATAACCCACTTGTGCTCTTTCTTTCCAGGGCCCTCCAGGACCACCGGGAGTCCCAGGACCCCCTGGACCCGGAGGCCCCCCGGTAAGACTGGCTTTGACTTCAGATCACCAGGGCACCAGATGGAGCTCCGTGCCCCATGGGAGCCAGGAACATCTTCCTGTAGTGCTACGTGTTTGTTCTTTGTCCAAGACCCAAGCAAAGGCACAAACAAGGAGGACCCGCCTGCAGCCACCCCCAAGCCTCTGGCTCTCAGGCTCTTGAGCCCTTTAAACTATCATTTGAGCTTATATAGCACATTGGTTGGCTGCTTCCAGAGACATGTCCAAGGAGGCGTGCTGTCTGGAGTCTCCCATTCAGCAGACTCTGGGCACACGGAGGGCCAGTGTGGGTATCTGTCAGCCTTTCCCCAGCCGCCCCAGCCTACTGGCAGGGGGCACACCCAGCAACTGGGAGAGCGAGGTGGTTTACCCATCCCGCTGGGTAGGAATGAATGGGATGGTGGCCCTGGCTGCAAAGCAGACAAGCCATGGACTTGCCAGCTTTAGAGGACTTGCCACCTTTCACGTGACCCACACCTAGGACAGCCAGATGTCCCAGAGGTGTATCTACTCCTGGTGTCCTTGTAGGGGCCAGAGACCTGGGCTTGTGCCAGGAAAGGTGTTTGGAGAAAGGATCTGACGCTCCAAAGAGGGCAGACTGACAGTTGCCATGTGTTCCCCTTTTCAGGGTTTACCTGGAGAGATCGGCTTCCCGGGAAAACCTGGGTTCCCTGGGCAGGCGGTGAGTGTCCCGGAGCATCCCTACTGCAGTCTTCCCTCTCTTCCATTGGTCTATGGCAGGAATGGCCAGGCCCTTCCAGATGGCCGCCGAGGCCGCCTTCCAGAGCTGGGGGCTCTCCATCCTCTTTCCTCCCTGGCGGTGGGGACCAAGGCCAGGCACTCAGCCTGACCTTTGCCTTCTGTGGTTCCTTCCATGTGCTGCATCTTCTGGAATCGCTCCCCAAACGGCCCCAGCCAGGATGCGGCTTGAGGCACCCTCTCCCCAGGCCACCACCCCTGCTCTCATATCCAAAGTCAAATTCAAAAGTCCTTCGCTGTTTAAAGAGTGACTTCTTGTCTGTAAGGGATACCTACAGAGGGTAACAGATGTACTGGATGTGGCAGAGCTCTTCCTGTCATTATCCTGCTTGTGTTCCCTCACTCCCCAGCCAAGAAGATCTTGGGGATCCGGGGCCTTCTAATTTCTTCTAAATCCTGAGGGTGGGGCTCAGCAAAACTTACTGTCTCTGTGCATGGTGGGTGTGCGATGAAAGCTGGGTGTGTCTCCTGCTGTTTTGGCCTGTAGCTCTTTGGGACAGGAAGGTAGATGTGGCCTGTCAACCTCACCATGTGACCATGATCAACCATCATAAATCTGATAATAGCCCTCAGGGAGGCCCCTGTGCCACTTGGAGGGACTTCCTTACAACCAGTTCTCTGTCGTGGGGCCAGTGGGTGGGGGATCCCAAGTCCGAGAAAGCCTATGGACCCACAGCACTGGGGATCCAGACACTGGGAAAGGATGATGGAGGTAAATCAGATTGTGTAGCACACAGCAATTGTGCCCCCATGTCAATGGACCACAGATCTGTTGGTGGCTGTAGATCCAGGCACCCAGGAGTCAGGACCCTGAATGCTGGGACGCCAGCATTCTTAGCTCTGTTGGTTCTGGGTGCCATGCTGATGGGCATCAGACATAAATTCAGTGTTGTGATGTACTCCCTCAGGTGAACTGATCCAAACCTGCAACACCTGGACAACTGCAAAGTCGTCAACAAACATCTGACTCGAGTGACAGTTCAAGCACATTAACAATGTCATCTGATCTAATGGGTCCATCAAAAAGTGTGTGTGTCAGTGTGGACATTCAGAAGAGGGGAGGCTGTGGTAGGAAGAAGGAATGGTAGTCAATGGCATTTACAGTTTATAAAATGACATTAGGGCCACTGAAGGTTGGAAGTATTGCTCCTGGCCTTAGTATCTGCTCTTCATCAAGATCATGCTTCCATTGACCCAACTGCCCTTAACTCCCCAAACAAGACCTCCTGCTCCCTTTCCAGGGGCCTTGACTCTCAGGACCCCTGCTCTGGGAGGTGGAGCTCTCCTTTCAATGAGCCACCAGCTCAGGCTGAGACACAGGGAGATATGAATCTTAAATTGGGTGGCAGAGGGTTCTCTGGGCAGAAGAATCACCAGGTTTATAAAAATAAATTGACTTCTGAATAGCACTTACAGTTGCCAAAGCAATAACAAGTGAACTATTCTGTCAGGGGAAAGGATTTCCCTTCTATCTGTCATGGGGGAGTACGTGGGCCCCTGATACATAATTTAAGGCACAGAGAAAAAGCAGAAGAGAAAGCGACTCTGGGTAGTGGGAGGAATCTGGAGGTGGAGCCAGGAGGCCTGGGTTTACCTGTGGGTCCCGTTACCAACTGTGGGACCTGGAGGGAGTCACTCAGCCTGTGGAGCCTTTGTCTCCTCACCTGCAAACAGCTGCAGCAAGGCCTGCCCTCGCCACATCATAAGGGTCGGGTGGAGGAAGCCTGCACGTTGTATTGGAAAAGAGGACATGGAGCTCCTCACATCGTCATTAGAAACAAAGGCAAAAATCATTAATGCCATTAATGCATTTTTGAAGGACAATAGAAAAGAAGGATAGCAGTGGGAAGGGAGAAAGTGATGGCAGAGAGATTATGGAGAGAAGAGAGTGGGAGCAATATGGACGGTGCTCTCCTGAGGGGCTTCCTGGAAGCTGGAGGTATAAACAGAACCATCAGAGCCAGGTTCAGTGGACTGTCCTGCAGCTCTCGCCCACCATGCACGTCCAGGGCCACTGGCAACCGGACGTGGGTCAGAGGTAATGTGTATGTCCGTCATAAAGAATGTGAAAACAACACCTGGTCCTACAGCGACCACAGGCACCTTGGAGAGAGCGCCTCTGAGAAGGAGGGGGTGCTGGTGCCTGCAGGGTGCCGGTGCCTCCCAGCTGCTGGCTGCAAAATCATCTCCTGCTGGAAACAACTTAATGCGGTGCTGTCCACACATGCCTCTCATTTCTGTCTTTTTCCCTCTTGGCCCAGGGGCCGCCTGGAAAGGATGGGCTGAATGGACCCCCAGGCCTGCCAGGACCCAAGGTTGGTATTCATGGGGTTGGCTGGAGTGTGGGAAGCCAATCAAAATACAGTGAGTGCCTGGGCCCTGGACCAGGACTCAGAAATGCTTGAATTTACGAGGTCAGATGAGGACGAGCCCCTTATTTCTAAGTAGGTAACCAGGGAAGAATTTGGAGGCCCTAGACGTTAAAATTAATATTTTAGAAATATGTATTTACTATATTTGCTGGGAGGAAAACCTTTCAGATACTCTTACTAACATAATAAGAGACTTCAATTTTAGAAATATCCTGGTGGGGCTCATTATAGTAGGATTATTAAGATAAGAACCAGAGGTTAAATATCATGTAATTGGGAAGCAAATTCACAGTTTACATACTTCAAATGAACAATTTCAAGACCTTACAACAAATATTTTAACAAATGAGCTTTATTCTTTCACAGCATAAGCTCAAGTATTCATGTCAACAGTCCTTGCAAGGCAACTTTTCAGTATTATGGGAAAATTTATCAGTCATCCTTTTCAATAAGTAGACTTAGAAACTCAACTTTTTCATGACAAAAGAATGGATTTAACTTAATTTTATGGGATTTTATGTAAATATTCTCCACCTTTACAAGACAAGGGATAAGGGCTAACCAAGTGCTTCGAATTCTCAAAAACGCTTGTGCAATATATTCCTTATGCTAAATCTTTCACTAAGGAAAGACCACCATTTCTACTCGGTTATCTTTTTATAAAATAAATCAAAAGTACAGCCATCGAATATAGAATCTAAGGGATGGTACGAGATGCTATTTTTGGTTTCCATGCTCGTGCAGATTTAGAGTTCAACACCACCTGAGTACAGGTAGATCTCTTCCTTACCAGGCTGTAACTAGTTCCCAGTTTGTTTCTTCCAAGCGTCCCCCGACCCCGTAACTTTTTTTTGCCTTCCTTACAGGGAGAGCCAGGAGAAAGAGGAGAAGATGGTCTGCCGGGAAAACCTGGGCTTCGGGTATGGATTCCTCCACCTCCCATCATGTTTCTTGTTCTAAATGGTGTATCTGGGGTTGTGTGTGAACTGCAACTGATGGAGCATAAGTCCCTATCAGCTGGGGTCTGGCAGCAAACAAATAGGATGGTGGACAAGGGGCCCTTTGAAAGGGTGAGGGCAGGGTTAGGGGCTCCTACAGGGAGGGTGACACACCATGGGAATGGCAATGATGGAGAGCCCAACACCTCTAGGACAGAGGAATAGAGGAATGAGTGGGTCCCTAGGGAGACCTGGAGCTGGAGGAGAGGCCCCCAAGAGAGCTGTAGCCTTGGGAAGAAGGACATTGTCACTGTCTCGCTTGTCTTGGCAGGGAGACAGTAAGAGGGACACTAGCCTTCCCTCTCTGTGCCTTTCTCTCCTGAACTTTGATCTCCCTCCAGTGCTCACTAATGCCTGACCCCGACAGAAAGCCAGAAGGCAAGGAAGCCCGGCTGGTGCCTTCTGTAGAGTTCATCCGCCGGGGCTTCCAATGGGTGGAGACATGTGAAAGTGGCTCTGAGGGGGAAGTGGAGGCCACGCAGCATGGGATTTGGACAGGGCACCTCCTGTGGGTGTGGGGACCCAAGTAGTGGCTTTAGATGACTGTCGCTCAGTGACTAAGCTCCTCCAGGAGCTGCTGCTTCTCTGCAGGGCTTTCCTGATGGGCTGGCTGCAGGGTCTCATTTGTCTTGAGGCCCTCAGCTTAGCAGCTCAGATTTGGCTTGGGCTCAGAATTCAGTGAGCACAGAAGAGGGAGGACTGGACTGTGTGTGTGTGTGTGTGTTTTCTGGGGAAGCCTGTGCCTGCATGCACCTGTGGTTCTGGGGGAGCCTGTGGCCAGACAAAGAGATTGCGTGGGGGAACCCAGCCCCTCCCTCTCCCTCTCCCCACTCTACTGGGTTAAGAACTAGTTAAGGGAAGTAACTGGATCTTAGTCACCTCTGCTCCCCAACTCAAAGCCCACAGTCAGGCACTTGGGGGGTGCTCAGTAAGGGCTTACTGGATGGAGGATGGATAAAAAATTCAGCTCAGCAGAAATACGGCAGTGACTTGCACTCGACACAGCGGTGACCTTGCCCTCCGGAAGGACAAGACCAGCTCGTCTTCTGGCCAGTGAAGGTCCTGATGGGCAAAGTCGTGGGCCTAGGTTCTCTATTGCCTCACCTTTTCATAAAGTAGTCATTCCTTAGAAGACCAAAATAAAAGGGAGCAGAAAAAGCACAGGTTCAAATGCACCTCCAATGTCTCGAGGATGCCCAGGTTGACTCAAATGCGGAAAGAACATCCCAAGATCCACCAGGAATCTCTCATTTCCTGGATTCCAGATTCTAGGAACTCAGCCCTCATGCTCCCCCGATGTGCACGGTGAGTCATCCCATCACCACTTACAAGCACAGTGGTCCTTCATATTTTAAGAATCAACATTAGTGTTGTAAAAAATATTAATAATGATCCCCAAATCATTGAAATGTAATAGTATGTAATTTGCTGTGTTTCACCCATGCTTGTCCTAAGGTGGTTCTGTGTGGGGGTGAATCACATGGTCCTATAAGCACCCAGGCCACCTTTCTGTGTTTGACTAATTGGTTGAAATTCGATCATTTCCAAAGAGGACTTAAAACATTTGCATAGATTTGTTGTTCTTTTCCACTCTTGACTTCATGGATTTTATGGAGTCAACCATACCTTAGAGTTGTGTTTTCTCAAATTTATGAATTGTCAAATCCTTCTGGGCTTACACCATATGAATTTCAACATCCTATTTAATAGTCTTCAGAAGCAGTCTTTTCCCACTGAGTTCACTGCACGGTTCTGCAGATGAAGGAGATCCATTATAAGTATTGGCATGAAATTAAAGGTGCCCTTGGGGATTTCTTTAGTTGTTCCATCTATGTTTTATATTTCTGATAATCACTAATGGCTGAAAGATTCAAACAGGGAAATCTATTGCTACATCCCACATGTGTCATTTTTGTACGATTTCTAGTGCGATATGTTTAAAACATTTCTCTAGAAAGTTCAAAACTATGAATTTCCTCAGTTATGACACTTTTACAACTTAGTCTAGCCTCAAAGGGGACCTGGCATGGGATCTTGTTACTTTATTTTGACAAAATGCCAACTAAAGACAAAAATATTCCAAGAAGATTATGGCCAGGTCATGGATAGGAGGGTTGTGAGTCCACTGAGGGAATGGATGTGGTTTGCAGGGTGAGCAGATGTGTCAACCTCAATACTCATCACGTCAGGAATTCAAGATGGCACCCAGTCCTCTGTTCATGTGCCTGTGCTTAGGGTTCACCTCACAAATTCAGGAAGCATTTCACATGGTCTTCAAAAATGCTCTCTAACCAAACTCAGCCCCTCAGCACCTTTCTCAGCATGTAAGACGCAATTGCCACCGCAAAGGTGTTACAATCCTAATAGATTTAAAGTGACAATTTGAGTGACGCATATTTGCACAATTCCGGTTAGAGCAATTCTTACTAATCGTGCTTGTAAACATTGGGAATTGGTGGGAGAATTGGAGTGCATCTAGAATTTCAATATGTACTGACTCCAATGTCAGTTCCCATGGTGGCACCAGAGCTGCAGAATAAAATGTGTGCTTAATCGTTTAATGCTAAAAATGCTTTTGGTTAATTTTTTTTCCTTCCTCTCTGATAAGTGGTGGTAGTGCTGGCCTTCACTACCAGTTGAGTCTGGCATAGCTGCAGGAACAATCCCTACGTGCATGCATACCTGCTCATTCATTCATTCATTCATTCATGTGTCCATTTACTCAGAAAACTACATTTCCTTATGGAAATCTACACAAAGGTTTTATTAAATAGCATAATGGATTTTAGAAAGAAATTGTCATTCAAGAAGTCAGTGATTCTCAAGACTCATCATTGTTTAGAAATTAATGTCCATCCCCACCACCACCACCACACGTCTCTTTGCATCAGTGATTTACAGAGACATGGGAAGCACAGTGGCCTGATGCCTTGGGATCAGAGAAAAAGCCTGTTTGGTCCTGTGTCCCCACTTCACCTGACCACAAGAGGCTAGTCAAGAACCTAATGGCTGAGGACGAAACTTCAACCTAGTTACTAGAAATAGTCTATACCTATTTAGGGGCTTACTTTCCACTATGTTTAAACGTTTAGTAGAATTTCATCCAAGACTTGCCTTTATTGTAACACAGCATGGGAGAGGGAAAATGAAGTTCTTACCCACCTCTTACCATGGAGCGGCGTGTGTCTGGACAATGACCACAGGACAGCCAGTCAGCTTGGATCAGTTCATCAAAAGCTTCTCCTTCATCGTTGGACATAACGTGGTGTCTGGGTTTCCCCAAAGTGCAGTAAAACTCAGAGTTGGGGTGGATCTAGCGGTCACAGACTTTGGCTCATCGTTGTTTTGAATTGTAAACATTTAGATTCAAAATGATTGTATTCACCCTCTATAAACTCTGTCAGGACAATTCCAGAAGTTGTTTCTTTTGGAGGAAGCAAAAAACAATATGAAGGAGTGTGGAACCTCTCTCTCCAGAAATGCTAAACACTGTGGTTTCCACAGCCTGTGTCTCTTGGGCTGTAACCATGCCATGTGTTTGAGGATCAAGAGCTGTGGCTGGCACATGCTGTGAATATGTGGGGCCAACTGGAGAATGACTGTCATCTCTGTAAATGTGCTTGGAAAATAATGGGGTGTTTGTTATTCTGTCTCCAGGGTGAAGTTGGGGAGCAGGGCCTGGCAGGCCGACCTGGAGAGAAGGTTTGTTTGTTCATACCTTCATTCATTCATTGTGTTCTTCATTCAGTGCATTCTTTCACTATTATACACTTGGCCTTGTGTCAGTTGTCTTCTGGGGGTGCACTGCATGCATTTCATGCATTCATTTACTTACCCAACAATAATCAGCATGTCCTATACATCTGTCTCTGTCTTGGGCACTGGGATCACAACCACGAATCAAAAACAATTGAACAGATGCAGTAAGTGGTGACATGCAGGTGTGGGTGAGAGGGCCCCACACTCAGACTTGGAGAATGTCAGGAAAGATGGCAGGGAAGTGACATTATGGCTGAGTCCTAAAGGATGAGGAGTTAGACACCAAGAGAGGTGAAACAAATCTTCCTGGAAGAGGGAATGGCTAAAGTGGGAAAGACCTTGAGTGCACCCCAATGAACAAATTCTCTAGAATTCCCCTTTCTCCACTAGTTTGCTTTCCATGTCACCTCCATTAAGTCAGCGATCTCTGGGACGCTGGAGAGCATGAAGTAGAGGGCACATGCCCCACAGACTGGCCCACAGGAGAGCCTCCTTACTCATAGCCTAATGAACACAGATGCCATGTTGTTTCCACAGGGAGAGGCCGGGCTCCCTGGTGCTCCAGGATTCCCAGGTGTGAGGGGAGAGAAAGGAGAGCAAGTAAGTGGTGGCAGCTTCTTCCCACCAAGGACACCTTGCCTATGCGCATGGAAAGCAGCGCCCTTTGGAGTCAGTCCCTTGGGGGTGATGGGGATCTTGGCTGGGATTTGAGGGTATTTCCCCAGGGTTTGTGGAAGAGAAGAAGAAGTGGAGTGGGGTGCTTTGGTCCATGAGCTCCAACAAAAGGCCAGTGGCTGAGAGATCTCTCTGAAAAGGTTGGAGCATCTTCAGATGAAATTGGTGGGAACAGGGTGGGGGGCATCATCTGTCATGTGCCAAATGGGAATTAGGTGCTTCACACTTAACTGACAGAAAGCCCTTGGGGTTGAGCTTCACCATGGCATTTACTGGTAAGGTAAGGGCAGTCCAAGACAAAAAAGCCTTTTGTCCAAAGTCCTAGCACTCTTACCTGGGAGAGGCAGGCGTGACGCTCTTTTTGAGTTCCAATGTTTTCTAATTTCATCTTTTGCCATAGGGAGAGAAAGGTGAACTGGGCCTCCCAGGACTGAAAGGTGACCGAGGGGAAAAGGTAGGAGCTGCTGCTGTCATCCTGTCGTCAGCTACATTAGTGGCAAAACTTTCCCCTGTGATTATGTGTGTTGCCTGCAGTTCAGTGGAGTGAGCACCGTTCTTGGAGTTGAAGTGATGGCCTGGGTTATAATCCTGGTTCTACCTGCTGGGTGGCTCTGAGTGTCTTGTCTGACCTCCCTGTGCCTTGGCTTGCTGGCCTGGAAACAGTTCTGCTAATACCTCCTCTGAGGGTTGTTGTAAAGCATGACTGATGCCCTGTTTGTGGGATGGGCTGTGGCAGACTCACCATGTGCCAGGACTGCTGGAAGCACTGCACGGGTAGTGACAGGGGATCCTCATGACAACCCCAAGAGAGGTCATGTTATCAACAACATCCCCACTTTGTAGATGGGGAAACCGAGGCACAGAAAAGCTAAGTTGCTTTCCCAGGGCTGCATGAATGGAGTACAGTAGGGTCAACACCTCAACCCTGACAGTCTGGATCCAGTGTCCCCGCTCCTAACAGTGCCATGCCTCACACTGGCCTGGCCCCTGGGTGCCTGAGGAATGAAAACACGCACCCCGAAGGGCCTTGCGTTGCCCCTTGTCCTGCACAGAACTGTACAGGTCACCTTGCTGTCCTGAGGCTGCATGTTCTTCTCCTCCAATTTCCTGCTCTCCTTTTGCCCTCATCCTTCTGAGCTCCAGAGGGGGCCTCCCATCCTCCCTTCTCTTGGGCTGAAGGCTGAGGGCTTAGCTCCAGACAGACCTGCAATCTATAAATAGAGAGCTTGAAACGGAAAGGGCTTTGCGTGGGTAAGCCATTCATGCCTGCTGCTCTCATGGACTTTTTAGAATTGCAATTTTTATTTGAGAAACTCATTTCCAGGATGCAAAGGACTCAGCGAGACCAGAAAGCCCCTTTTATTGCTTTGGCAGAATTGCCAGAGTCACGGCAGAATCACGTTCAAGCTTCCAAAGAATCTGGCCTGCTTTTCTTTTCCCCCAGAGAAATATGTAATAATAGACAATGCTGGTAAAAAAAAAAAATGCAAAATGAGACATTAAAGCAACATTGCCCCCTTCTGACTGTGCCTCATGCAATCTCTGCCTCAACTTCCCATTCTTTGCTCCCCACCACCCACGGTGAGCATTTAACACCCCACCAGCCCCTAGCATCTCAGAGAGCAGGTGTGATAATGCCCCATTGTCAGCAAGGGCTACTGAGAGTTAAGCTACTCCTGGAGGAGCTGGCATCTGAACTCCGGCCTGTCAAAGTGACTCCAAACTCATAGATCTTTCATCAGCCGAGCTTCTTTCTCCCAAGTCAGAGGGCTGCTGGGGTCTTCCCCACCCCACCCACTGTTCTTTCCCTCCCCCTACAGCTCCAAAGTGGAGGGTCTCCCAAAAAGGCAGTCTTGAGGCCCACCGGGTTGGAGACAGGTCTCTCTGCCAATCCTCTTCTTATTGATACCCGTTCATATGTTCAACTGGGAGACGCTCAACTTTGACCATTTGGACCTTTTCTTGTTGGGTAAATTGGTTTAAATGAGCTTGGCTCTGGAGCATGAGGTCAACAGTGTCAGGAAGAGAACAGGGTAAAGTCAGGTAATGCAAATAGCACAGAGAAGGTGTTTTTCTTTCCAAAGCTTCTGGAACTTTAGTTGGGGCACTGCTGCCAGTAGTTAAGAGCTTGGATTCTGAGCTTAAAATTAGGCTCAGCCATTTGCACTGTGTGACTTTGGGCAGGTGAATGAATGTTGTTATGCTTCAGCTCCTTCATGCACGAAATGGGAATACTGAAGTATCGACACTGTGGGCATTTCTAGAGAGATTGGATGAGTTAATACATGCAAACACATATGCCAGTACCTGGAATTAAATACTACATAACAATAGAAATAATGATAGGAAACAATATAACCACTTTTATTATCATTATTATTGGCCCTCTCTAAGCCAGCTTGATTCATTCATTTGTCTACTAATAACCATGTGTGGAAGGCCTGCATAGACCTAACCCTGGGCTGCAAGGAACGCACCAGGGCATAGACATCCATGTCCTGGCACCATCGTGGCACACGTGGAGTGATGGACTTGGGGACTGTGTCCACTCATTGAGGTTCCTCCTGCATGGAACAGCCCAATGACCTCCTTTCTTCAGGGAAGATGTAATAACAATTTCCTCCTCATTGGGCTCCTGCTGAAGACTATCTCACTCAGTCCCTATATGATGCTGTGAGTTCTATTATCATTATTTTGCAAAGAGGAAAACAAGCCAAAAGAGGTAAAATAATGTATAATGTATAATGGTAGAGTTACGTTTCAAGCTCAGGTGATTTAACTCCCAGCCTGCATTGGCTACAGGAATGTAGTATTGTCCCCTCAGGCCCCTGAGAACAGCCCATCCCCTTCAGAGGGGCTGGCACAGGGCCCAGTGGGGTCTCTAAGGGAGCTCAAGTCATTGTGGAGGATACAGTGTGAGATGTTTGCTGCGGAACTGGTTATGGTTTCATTAAGAGGGAAACAACGGAAATGTCATCAATGGGAAGATGGATAATGGATCACTTTATTACCATGTGCACAATGGAATGGTGTAGAGTGATAGAAATGATCTACAGCTACACGTATCAGCATGGATGCTTCTCAGAACATAAGGTTTTCGTATATCTGAAATATGTTATAATTTGGCATCTATCTCTCTATCTCTCAAGGTAGATGCAGGTGGGTGATTCTGCTGTCTGGGGACAGGTGTCCAAGGAGAAGCAGAGTTGGTTGGCAGGAGGACGAATGGTCATTTATTTTCCATTTCTTCATCTAGGGTGAAGCTGGTCCAGCAGGACCCCCTGGCTTACCTGGAACTGTAAGTTACTCTGCTTCTCATCCTTTCACCTTCTTTGAATTCCCAAAGCATGGAGACACTCCCTCCCCACGCACTTAGTTATAAACATCTTTTTAATAGGGTTTGCCAAGAGCTGGATCTCTTCTTAGGTTTTGTAATCCAAAAACCTGTAAGCTTCTCTAAGAGCCACCTTGTGCTTGTTGATTATTTTATTCAGCAAGCACAATTGCTATTTATCGTAACATTGGCTAGAGACTGAGAATGCATACTCATCTGTTACATATAGGGAAACTGAGGCCCAGAGACAAGAAGCAGTCTGTCCAGGGTGAGACTGCCATGTGGACAGACAACCATGACTCATGCTTCATTTTCTGCAGGTGTGAGGGCAAGCATGTGAGTTGGTGTTGAGTAGTGAGTAGGAGAATGGATTTCCCAGCCAGAGAAAAGTGGGTTTGGATCCCAGCTCTGCCATTCACTGCCATCATGGTCTCAGATATGTTTTTTTTAATTTTAAAAAGGCTCGGTCTTCTCATCTGTTAAGAAAAAATAGTATACCCACCTATCTTGTACATTTGTAGTGAAAATTAGCTGAGATAATACAAGGTACACAGCACAGTTTCTGGTACATTAATAAAAACTAAATATAAAACAACTGCTATATAAATATGGCAGCATATTTTGGATATATTTTTTTCATTTGAATGTCTCTTCTCAGCCTGGATATTCTGTGCTTTGATAACTTGATTTCATGGAAGTTGAGCGTGACATCCACGCTGGCCATGACTGGGCAAGGAGGGACTGGTCAGTTGCTAACCAAAGCAGGAAACTGCCTCAGTATGGAGGCCAGGAGAAGAGAGAGCCTAAACGCCCAGAAATCCCATGTGCAGTGTAACAAAGAATTTTACTCTGTGGTTTCTATTATATCAAATCGCTATTCCACAGCTCTATCTCCTCCCCATACACACACTCATCAAAACGACTCAGCCATTCCACAAGGATGTTAAAAGAATCTCAGACTCAAGCTTAGAGTCAGAACTGGTCCTATAAAAATTTTGTTTACGACTGGTAACACCCAAAGTTGCCAAGCACGTAGGTAAATGAGCACTATTATTTGGTGGGAGGGTAAATTGGTAATGCTTATTTGAGAAGTTACTCAGTATTAACATATCATAAAATCTCTACCCGTTAGCTTAGAAATTCCATTTCTAGGCATTATTTGCATTGCATGTATTTACAAAAGGATGTACAAGGATGTACATAGTGGTGTTGCTTAAATTACGGGCAAGCTCCATGACAGTAAGCATAGAATTAAGTAAACCACAGAATATCCATCTCATGCATCCTATTTTGTAAAAATAAACACACACACGCTATGAAAATGGCCTTAAAAAGATACCAATATTCAAGAAAAATTAAATGGAAAAACTAATTTATGAATCATCATGCATGTAAAGGTGAAGACCATGGGCCCCACAGCCCACCCACGTGGCGTCAGTCCCTGCTCCAGCGTTCACGAGCTGCCTCAACTTCATTAAATAGTCTACTCGTCTGCCATCCAATTTTCCTATCCATATAACAGAGCAGAAACACATAATCTCCCTCTTAGGGTTGTCGTGGAGAATGTGTGAGTTAATAAATATAAACAACTGTGAGTAACCGTGTGTTTGCTGTTACTATTTGTACATCTCTCCTGCAGAGTTATGTATTTCTATACATTCATAATTGTACAGAAATATATAAAAAAGTCCTAAAAGATGCGCTCAAGTGAAAAGCAGTGGTTTCCTCTGGGGACGAGACTGGGACTAGGGATGTGGAGGGCAAAGTAGAGGTTTCTTTTTTCCCTTCCATTTTGAAGTCACTGTGTTTTTGGACAAGAATCCATGATGTCCCTTTGTCCACTCACTGTTTTTTTTCTGAGCACCTGCTGTGAGCCAGGCATTGGCAAGGTTGGACCCGAAGGAGCTCGCAGCCTAGTCAGGGAGATAAAATCTAGTCACATAGTGGCCCGGATAAACCTATATTACAAAGTATAGTAAATGCTATCAAGGAAAAGAAGACGGTGTAGTTAGGGAGAATAACAAGGGCACCCGATTTATATCTGAGTGTTACAGGGGGAAGGGGGATCTGAAGCCACGGCATTCAAAAGTGCCCTGGAGGATGGGCCGTAGTTAATTAGACACAGAGAGGAGGAGAGTGTGTTCCAGGTGAGAGGAACAGCAGTGTGGAAGCTTAGAGGCTGGAGAAAGTATGACACCTGGGAAGTATTAAGCGCGGTATGGCTGGGGACCTGGAGGGGGTCTTTAGCTGCTGAGATAAAGAATTTTCATAAGCTGGGCTCTCCATGCCCAGGGGCTGAGCCCCCTCCTCCGGGTTTCCTTATGACCTGCATCCTTGCTGGGAGAGGCCCTCAAAGGAGACACTGATGGAGGGATCCAGTGTCCCAGGCATGGCTCTAATTACTTGCATGGATAATTCCATTTCGGCCCCACAACACCCTGAGGGGAGAATGTTTTGTCTTCATTTTACAGATGAGGACGTAGAAACTGACAGATATCTGAGGTCACGCAGTTTTAGGCGAGGGTGACAGGGTTGGAGCTCAGGCTGTGTTACTCCAAAGTTCCTGTATCTAACCACTGTAATTTGCTGCCCTGCCTTCATAAATGCTCAAGGACTTTAAAGAAATATGTGATTCTAATTGTCAAAACTAATTAATAGGCATTAAAAGAAATGGTGGGACTGTATTCTTTTACTTGGTAAATCTCTCAGGGCAAGTTTCTAAAGTCAATTCACATCTTTCTGATTTCTCTGTTTTCCTTTTCAGACATCCCTGTTCACCCCACACCCAAGAGTGCCAGTAAGTAGCCCCCTTGGTGCTGCCCGGTGGCCCTCAGCCTGCCTTGCGACATCCCCGTGTGCTCTGGGGCTGGGCTTGGGCTGGTCCTGACTCTCAGCCCCACCGTGCAAGTCAGTGCCAGGCACCTGGACTTGCAGACCTTGTCCTGGCAGCCGGTGGGGAACGTGCCCCGCAAGGAACCAGCTCTAATGTCAGGCAGGACATCCCAGGGGCCTGGAGGCCACCTCCCAGGTGCTGAGGGCAAAGGGCAAACCTCTCTTTGGGTAAATTTAGTTATTCACCACACAAAGAGTCGCTGGTGGTTTCGAGGAGAACAGAATTATGTGAGATGGCAGAAGACTGAACAGCCGGGTGAGGCAGTTGCCATGGATGCTGGCAGTGAAGGGGACCCCGAGAGTGGAGTGCCTTGAGGGGACACAGGTCTAAAAGAGGCTGTTCAGAGGACAGTGGAGCTGAGTCTGCTTGGGGCATGGCCGATGGAGGGAGAGCTATGGCTTCTTGTAAAGACTAAAGCACTTGCCAGCAAAGAAAGCTAACCATCGCTGCAACCCGGGAACCTGTCTTCCCTCTTTTCACTCGTGGTTCTTATGAAAATGAGTGTTTTCGGGATCTCTTTATGCTCTGGCAACACCGAAGCCAGAAAGCGTGCTTCTGTTTCCTCTGCTCTTCGGAGACAATTCTTCTGTTATGAGCCCCTGACCCACCATTCCACGATGCGCCACCATGGAGAGGCCGCACTGGAGACATCCGCGTCCTAGTAGCTGCTTTCTCCATGTCTTCGATATTGAGTAGATGCAACTTAAAAAGCTGAAAAGAGTCCTGTATACGGTGGAAAAGAATCGAGCAGGTAGAGAGATTGAGCCCGGTGCTGAGATCATTGTGAAGGAGAAGGAAGGATTTTGAGCTTCTTCGGAGGTGAAGTGGAGGAAGTGAGAAGGAGGAGAGGGGCCGTCGCTGGGCAGAGTGGATTTCAGAAGAAGTCATTGGGAGATGCCTATGGGAAAGAACAGGTTTGGGGGCTCTGGCTGTGTCCCCTACTCTCTCAAAAGAAGGGCTCAAAGAGACAGAACATGAGAGCATCCACCGGGGTATGCACAGTGTGGGTGTCGCTCAGACCATCCCTGAGGAAAGGCTCGTGTGCCCACTTCACAGATGATGCTCCTGAGGCTCAGAGGAGCTAAGCAAGTTGCAATGGCCTACTTGGAGATGGGAACTGAGATGAGTTGTCAGCCATAAGCCTCCGGCCAGAGCAGCTGTCCCCCGACCCCACCTGCTACTGAGGTTCAGGGCTCGCCCCCGGGTGGTGGCTGGCTCCCATCACTCTATCCCACTGCCTTGGCTCCTCCAGGACCACCTCTACCGAAACATTGCCTCACTTTCCCTCCGTCTTCTGGGTCTCCCTCAGGCCCACCCTGAGCCCCTCAAGCTTGAGACAAGTCTACACATCCAACCTCTCCTGAAAGGAATTGCTCCATAAAAGATGATTTCCAAGGCATTCCACTGGGAAGGGACATAAGTGGGAGCCGGGAGCCTGCCCAGTCTTCCCTTTGAATCACAGTGGTGATGTCTTTGTGATACCTTCCTGCAAGTCTGAGTTTTGCAGGAATCAGGAACACTTGCAGATGCAAAGCAAGGAAATCGTGTCTATGAAAAAAAAAGATTTATTGTGAATTATTGCATGAATCTCTCTGGGACTGGCCTCGTCGCCATGGTGACAGGGTTTGTATTGATGGTTTTGAAAAATGTTCTTCTGTTTGATTTCTCCCTGCACTCCTCAGGAGAGTGCCTTTTGAGTCCCTGCACACAGGGAGGGCTGGGGGAGATTTAGAGGGATGGCAAAGTTTGCAGCAGGATTAAGAAAAGGAATAGAAAGGAGGAGGAGGGTGGAGGGAGAACCCTGACCGCTGGGATGGAGGATGCTCCTGGGAAAGGCTGGCTGCCATGCCTGGGGAGGCCTCCAGGTGGCGTGGTGATGGCAGCCTGTGGAGGACAGACAGCATGCACGTCTGGAGATGTCAGATGGAAGAGGAAACTCATTCTTTACTTGGAGGAAGGAGGGAAGGGCAGCCTTGGGTTTGGGAAATTACAGTTGAGAACTCAAGAGGGGCTTTGTAGCTGAGGGGCTGGGAGGTGATTCAGAAGCAGCCATCTCTGGAAGATCTGGGGCAGCCTGACCCCACCCCGTCAGCCTGCAGAGGAGTCCAGGATGCCCAGTCAATGCCCTGAGTTTGCAGGGATGATACTGAGCCCAGACAGACTGTTGGACTTGGGTGACAACACTAGCGGGGGACGGTCAGGAGGAGAAACAAGCCACTCATGCTCATGCATCCAGCAACTATCGATGAACACCACTGTGTGCCCGTAGTGAAGGCTTTGCCTCCTGACTCCCAGGCCCAGGACACAATGCCTTGAGCATCTTGCCTGAGTCCCAAGGCTCCCTCCGCTGGCCTGGCCTGACCACTCATGGGTCCTGAGCCTCTGTTCCTGCCACCTACAATCCCTTCCCCCAGCTGGCAGAAAAAGATTATGCAAACTTGTCCTCAGCGCATCACCTGAAGTAACTCCATACACCTTCTGGATTGTACCGCCAATGACTTGAGGATGAAAGAGTTTCGCAAATCCCCACCATGTGAAATTTCCTAGGAGGAAACCATACTAGAAGTAAAAGTACTGTTATCCCTGGTGAACGGAGCCAGAGAGTGTCCTTCTGAGCTCGTTGGAAATGCAGATTCTAGGAGGAATGAACTTGCATCTGTTGAAAACCTCCTCTGTGTCGGCACTGTGAAGCTCTTGGCAAGAGCAATCTTATTTAATCCAGGTCACAACTCTCCAAGGTAGACCATGCAGATTCTACTCAATAGATGATGCAGAGAGTGAGGAAACCAGCCCAGGGCCGTGCAGATACCAACTGGGGATCAACGAGTAGCTTGCGAGGGGAGGGCAGGCAGGGGCCTCTGGGGCAGTCTCCAAAATCTGCAGTGCATGGAGAGAGAAAGCAGCATGAAACCCGCAAAGGGCTGTGCCTCTCTGTGCCTGAAGCTTTAGGACCAGCCTGCCCCAGGCTCCCTAACTCAGATGTTGGAATCTGCCTTCTAGATGCTTCCAGGGTCCTCCCCAGACCTTCTGGTCTCCAAAGCTTTTGCTTTCATACTCTCTAGCTGTGCAGGACTCCTGTCTACATGCAAGGCAAATGCTCATCCGTCTCTCCTCGGGTCGTTCTGCAGATGGGGAGCCCGAGGTCTTCCTAAGCAGCCCATGGCACTTCTGGACAGTACTGGGTCCTGCTCCTTTAGAAGGAGCCATTCACGGCCTTTCTGATGCACATGCTATTGTTGTTCCTCTGCTCTCCCCAGAGAGATCCACACCCGCCTGGTCTCCTCTTTTGGATTCACGTCTGCTGCACATTGTCTGTATCCTGGATTCCTCACCCTGTGTGAAATGGAGAACATGTGTTCATTTTGCAGACACAGACACTGAGGTCACTGGCTAAATGCTTTGCCCAATGGTATATGGCCAGTGAGTTGGAGAGCCAGTTCCAAGATGCTGTATGTGGATCTAGAGCTGAGGCTGTTTTCATTTGGCCCACTGTCCCCACTCTTGTCCTGCATGATTGGTCCTTCAGCTATTGAAAGATAGAGACCTGAACCTTTCCAGGTGTGTCCTTGATGGATCCTCCTGTGAAGAGCAGAGTGAGGATCTCATGGCCCCACAACCTTCCTGGGAGGTGTGTTGGGGACCCTGGATATGACACCAACAGATCAAGTGACCTGCTTCCTCCCCCGTTGGATTATTCCCTTCTGTGCAGCCCTGGATGCTGCACACGCCTTTCCAGCCTGTGTCCCATCTCTTCTTTAGCAAAAGTTAGACTCACCAACCTGACCATCCAACATTCAATCCCCAGTCTGTCCCCAAAGGGCTGGGTCCCTTGAGCGAAGTCCCCTCCCCAGTTTCTCCATGTTGGACAGGGGCCTGAGAAAGATTCTTCCTCCTCTCAGCATTCTTTCCATCATTATTCACTGATGATCTACCACGTGCCAGGCTCTGGGCTGGAGTGGAGAGGAATCAAACAGTACACAGAGGTGTAAAACTGTCACTGTAACCAGTGCCATGGAGGAGGACACTGCTCTAAGAGTCCATAAGAGGAGGGCGTGGCTCAGTTTTGGATTCAGTTTCCCTGAAGAAGCTATTCTTGACCTTAGATCTGAGAGATGAGTAAGAATCGATCAAAGTCCCAGTGGAGTAGGAGGGAAGAGGCACCCAGGCAGAGGGAACAGCCTTTGGTGGGGGCGGGGATGGGCTTCATGCACAGACAGGGCTGGAAGGGGCTGGTACGGACGATCTGTGGACAGGGTGGAGCACATCCGCTGTACTCTTTGCTTCTCCACCAACAGGGAGAACAAGGGCCAAAAGGAGAGAAGGGTGACCCTGGCGTGCCTGGGGAACCGGTGAGTGCCCTGTGCTCTGCACCCTGCATCCCCTGCCCCAGTTCCTGACCATGTGCAGCTGGTTACCAGGACATCCAGGGCCGTACAGCTGCAGGTCTGAACTGTGCGCAGGAGCCCCGCTGAACCGAATGCAGCCCCTTCCTCCTCCCTCAGGGCTCCAAGGGGGTCCCCTCCGTGGATCTCAAATTATACTTTTTGCATGTGTCCACACGGGTCCCAGCTGTCCAGAACAAGGGTGATGACCTAGTTCATTGATGAGTTGTTTCATTGCAGGGATCACCGGGCCGTCCTGGAGAATTAGGGCCTCGGGGGCCCACTGGACCGCCGGTAAGAAAACCTTCTCTTCACTGTTGGCTCTGAGTGTTGGAAATCCCTGCCACCCCTTCTGTCCCTCCCAGGCCCCCGCTGGCCCCGCTCGCCTGGCATTTTGGGAGTTCCCACCAGGGGGCGCTGCCACAGGTGCTGAGGGGACCGCGCGAACCCAGCAAGCTCAGTTCCACCATGCTCTCCTTTCCCGACTCAGCGCCCATCAGGGTCTGTGCTCAGGCCCCGGTGGTTCCTGGCTCCCTGAGTTTTTCACATGCAGGGAATCCTTTCCTCCCTCCCAGCCCTGGTTGGCAGCTCTGGTTTAAATGACACCCCGTGCATATTAGCGCTTTGATTTTGTTATTTTTCTCAGTTTCGGCTGTTTCACTGGCTCTTTCTCAGGCGGTTCGTTGTTCAAGTTCTCTGGAGAGTTCCCTTGGAGTAACATGTCTGGGCTCAGATCCCACAGGGCCCGTTGCTGGCTTTGTGCTCCTGGGCCATCCTGTTCCTGTGAGCTCCATTTACATAAAGTATTGATACCTATGTCCTGGGAGTGGTGAAGATGGAATAAAATAAGGACAAGCTCCAGGGAATGGCCAAGACATGTGACTTCTGCACTTTGAGACCCTGCTCACTGTGCTTTCATTTTGGACCAACTCATTGATGAGCAAGGTGTCCCCAAGATGTCTCTCCATGGGGATGTGGACAGCATTATCTATGACGTCTTACCCCCCCCCCCACCCTTTAATTTCCCCTACAGGGTGCCAAGGGACAAGAAGGTGCACATGGGGTGCCCGGACCAACTGGAAACCCTGTGAGTCCTTACGACCCACCTATCTCCCGGGGTTGTGTTGGGAGATCCGCAGAAGGGGGGCTGGGTGCAGATCTGCCCCTTGGCTCAGAGGTCTGGGCTAACTAGGGGGAAGGGGCCCAGGAAATGCAGTGCACACTTGAGTGGCTGGCCATGGTTGGGGGCCTTTTGAGCAGCAAGGGCCGAGAGACATGCTGGTCTCTGCAACATTCCCAGCATTTCAGGGTTTCGTCTACTTGATCGACCCACAAAAGAAATCTCCTTCCACATGTGCACAGACACACACAAACACCCACTCACAGATGGCTTTGTTACTCTGAGAAGTGTGCCCATGTGCACATCCACATCCACACATTCTAGATCCCAGGTACACACGTACTGTGATGCACACATATGTAGGTAAACCTCGGACCTGCAGATGCAGCTGGAAAACACACACAGACCTGTGCCATCACTCACAGGTCTTCTGAGCTCTCCTGCTTCTGCTCCTGCCTCCCCTGCCTGGGGCCAGAATCTCGGGGGATGAGTACTTATTCCCCAGGGCTGACTAGAGCCTGTCTCGTGGTGGACAGCTGCAGAGCTCCGGTTTCTCTGCAAAGTTGGCAGGAGACAGGACAGGATGAGGCTGACTCTGCCGGGTCTCCCAGGAATAGAGGTGGTAGACAGAGGAGCAGCAGCAGCAGGCAGGCGTCCACTCACTCCCAGGACCACAGACCCAATGTACCCCCTATAATGTGCTTGCATTTGCGGTCCATCCTTGCTTATGGCTGAGTGTGATTGGGATCAGCTAAAGGCAGTGACCAGTGTGGACATTACAGAGCAGGGGCAGATGACACATTTCTCCTTGCTAGTGGAGAGAGCCCTGGACCAAGAGCAGCTGGAAGGGAAATGGAAGCCAAGTGTAGGCAAGGAGGCTGAGAGCGTGGTCCACGATTTCTGACCCTGAAAATGCACAGAACCCCATGATGGCGGGGCACAACACTAGAAGTAACATGAGGAGCCTCCAGGACTTCGGAATTCCCTGCTTCCTCATCTCCGTGGCATTGGCCCACCTTGAATGTCCTCATGCACGTCTCTCATGGAGTCTCTGCCCAGTATCATTGTCGAGTCCAAATCCACTTCTTCCAGGAAGCATTCCCTCATTCCCCAGTCAAAGCCAACACACACATACATGCATGCACACACATGCACACGCACATACACTCTTTGCCTCTTTGATGCTCTCTCTCTGTGACCAGAGCCAGCATGTTCAGAGTGACCCAGACTGAAAACAGTTTTGCCAGGGTCCATTTAGACTTTGTGACCATCCCGTGAGCTCCTCCTTCTCCTTCCAGCAGCAGTTGGTCACCAAGCCCTGCTCATTCCTCTTTGCACCTTCCCCAGGCTTGCCTCTTCCTGTCCAACCCATGGTCAACCATTGCTCAACCTGTATCCTTTCTCAAGTGTGCCAGCCTTGTTCATGCCCTTACAATCAACCGTGTTCATCACACTTGAGCGTTTTCTCCACAATTCAAATCTGAACAATTTGTTCCATTTTCAGTGTTTCCTTTCCCACATGCACTTAGGGATAAAGGCCAAACCTCAGCTAAGATCTTTGTCTGTGACGGGGCTGGTCTTCCTCTGCTCCACCACACACACACACACACACGCAGGCATGCACGCACATATGCACACACACACACACACACACACACATCACCTCTGCCCCTCTGTGCCTTTGTCTTCAGGAACTTCCTAGAGTCTGCTGCCCTCCTGTCTCTCACCTCTGCCGGAACCCCCTCACGTGAGGCTTGGCTGATTGGGCTGCTATGACACTGGAACAGGGGGAGGTTCATCTTATGCTTGGAGGGAATTTCAGGTTAGATGTAGGTTCAGCAAATCACAGTGAATTAAGTAGAAGGCAGGTTTGCAGAGAGACTGGGGGTAACTACTTATAATCAATACCTTGGGCCTTTCTAAACCTCTTCTGCTCTGAATAGGGCGCTCCTGGACCTGTGGGTTCCCCTGGTCCCAGTGGCCCCCCAGGAAGTGTGGTGAGTAATCCAGGGGCTGGGTGGGAAGGACACCAGCACTGGTTGTGGATCCACAGTGCCCATCCACTGAGTTAACTTACTTATCCACCCTGAAACTCAGGGGAGTGGGCATCTCTACTCTCCCATTTTACAGATGGACGAAGGTCACCTAGAAAGTTACCGTCCTAAGGCTCTAGGTGACTCATCAGACCTCCAGGTGGTAAATGAAGTTGTTATAATGGCAGAAATCCTGTCAACTTCACTCATGTTGGAATCAGCATCAGAGTTTGCCTCAGAAGAAACAAAATGAACCTTAGAAGTCAGGAGCCCCTGCTGTTAGGATGCCTGGATTCCGATGACAGCTTTGCTGTGAACTGGCTGTAAGACCCCTGCAAGCCATTCCTTGCGGCCTCAGTTTTTTCATCTTCAAAACAGAGAGAGCAGGCTGTGCTGGTTCACCTTTGTTGTCCTGCCACACTGGACATGCTGGATCCTGTGTGGGTCCCAAGGTATCTGCTAATGGATGAGCTTTAAGATCCACCGTAGACATTGATTTTGACGTTAACATTGTTCAGTGAAACACCCGATGGCATCTAGTCAAAGGCAACAGAGAATTGTGCTCCTAAAATAGGTGGAAGTCAGTCCCGCTCAGTCGTCGACCTGTACGATAATAATCATAGCAGTTCAGAGGACGAACACTGGGCATTTGTACGTGCCAGGCAGTTCTAAGCACTTTACATGTGTTAATTTATTTAATCCTCAGGACCCTGGGAGATGGATACTACTACTGCCCCATTTTACACAGGAAGAAACTGAGGCACAGGGAGACCAACCCATGTTGTTAGTGGTTGTGGTAGATGCTACAGGAGCATTGCCCAAATCATGTCACCCTCTCCACTTCGGTGCATGCTGCTGACTTCCAGGAGCCAGCCCTGCATGCCTCTGCCTGGGGCTCCTAGAGACTGCATTGTCCAGCCAACCCCATGACATGTGGCCAATAGCACCAGCAGAAGCAGCTCTGACCGATGGGTGTATAAATGCCCCAGCTCCTCCACTCCTGGTGGAGATGTTCTGAGGGTGCATCCCATGTTGACTTGCAGAGCCCCCAGCAGGCCTGAGCCCCAGTCACACAAACATCTTACTACTTGCCTGTCCTCCCCTTTCTCACTTCCCTGTTCCCTACTCGTGCATCCATGGAAGACTTGCACTTGAGCCTTGTCTCAAGGTCAACCTCTGGAGGGCTCCAAAGACACTGGTGAAGCAGGTCTCTGATGCCAAGCCTGTGTTCTTAGTCAGCCTCGTCCTCTCTGGGATCCCCTCTAGGTTGGACCCTGCCCTGCCCTCTAAGAGCCACAGCCCAGTGGTGAGCAGGCCTGTGTGTTTAAAGCTCTGATATGCAAGGAGGTGTGAGCAGACCAGAGGAGGAACAGCTATGGCAGGCAGGGAGCAGACAGTGGAGAGGCCCCTGGGGAAGTTAAGTCAGGGATGGGAGCAAGTGAGGACGGAGCTATAGTTGTCAACTACAAAGGGACCTTATCACCCTCCTGTGGGAGCCACGGATCATCTTGAACTTCACCACTTCAATGACCTTTCTTTCTTCAGGGCCCCCCTGGCGTCAGAGGCCCCCCTGGGAAAGATGGGGAGCGGGGTGAGAAGGTAAGACATGGTGCGACCTCTCAGCACACAGCAGCTCTTCCCGACTTCCAGGAAGCAAGGAGGAACCCGCGCTGCTCAGGCCTGGGTTAGGACCCAGGAGTCAGAAGGGCTTTCCGACTAGAAGAGAGGAACGAGGCCATGAAATCATCTCATTTAACCCTCAACAACAGACCTGTGAATCAGATGGATCCCCATTTGACAGATGTGGAGACTGAGGCTTTCAGAGATTAATTGATTTGCCTTCCATCTCATAGCTAGTGACCCACAGAGCTAGGTCTGGCTGACTCCACATCCCACTTTCTCTCCATTCGATGCACCATCTTCTCCATCTCACACCTTTGTGTGCAGAGTTAGAACTTCCCAACTATGAGAAAGAGCTTTATTCATCAGGAAGAAGAGAGACACGGTGTTCCTCCCAAAACACCAACACCCCAGGGGCAGAGGAGGAGAGTCCACAGCCTTTTGACATCTCTGACCTCACAATTTAAGAAGTGTCGCTGACATTTACTGGAACCACTACTCCAGTGGCATCTAGTGGGTAGAGAACAGGGATTCTGCTAAAAATCTCACAATCACACGATAGCTCCCCTCCACCCTACAATGCAGATTATCCATCGCAAGTGGCGGTACTGCCAAAGTTGAGAAATCTTGATCTCAGACGCCCTTTGTGCACCTGAATTTTCTCATCTGTAAGATGGGGGTGGTAATAGGTTGGTCATAGGTCGCGAGGGCTAGCTGAAGAATTGACATGTTGGAGGGGTCACCCGATCTGCCTATAGGAGCAGCCTCCACATGCACAACAGGTGTGCCAGTGTCCCCCCAACTCCCAATGGATCGTCTGCAGAGGCCCCCTCCCAGCTCACACGTGTCTAAACCTCTTAATACCCATTCCTTCAAGTCCACTTGGCTTGGAATCTTATAAAGGAGTGATCATTTTGTCTTTTATATTTTGGGAAATTTTACCAAGAATTGACGTACACTTTTGCATTTTGGCAGGAAGGCTCAATTTTAAAATACATATCTTGGAGGGAAAAATGATTTATTGCAAAGAAAAATGATCAACTGCCCTGTGGGGAATATGTCTCACAGGTTTTGGGGTGTTAGTGGATCGTAAGCTCAGTGATAACCCTTATGCGATGCAGGTGATAAATATTTTTTGAAAAAAAGACAGTCTTTCTTACGAGTCATACGAGTAGAACACCCAGATTAAGCAAGGGAAAAAAATCCTGGCCTGTCCACTCTGCCTGGATTGTACTACGTCTAAAGGGTTGTTCTCCATTCTGGACACATTGTAAGTATGGCACTGACAGACTAGAAAGTGGTGACCACCACGCTGGAGGTTTTCTGAGTCTAGTTGAAGAGAAGAGAAAATCGGTGAGCTGTTGGCACATCCAGCCTCTAGGGGGAGCCAAACCCTGTCCTTGGCTGAGCTGAGGTGCAGGCTGAGGGCTAAGGCCCTGGGCTGGTTTTGGAAGGAACCTCAAGTGCTCTGCAAAGTGGTAAAAATCTCTGACACCAGGGCATGCTGTCTCTTTCTCTCTCTCCCACTGTGTCCAGTGGCTGGCCTGAGGCTTGGGGAAGCTGATCCTGCCCATGGCTTGGAGAGAGTCCTCTCCGTCCCTTGCTTTGCCCATCCTTGGTACATTGTCCCTCACCTCCTCTCCATCAGGGGATGCCTGGAGACATTCAGGTGGCAGCTGAGGCCCAAGGGAGCCCTGCATTGGAAAAGGAGTCCTGCAGCTCACGTGGTTCCACCCAACTTTCCGCAGCCCGGGCTGCCGTGTGGGGCTCATCGTGGCTCTGTGGTCAGAAGGGTGAGCATTTGCCAGGAGGGAGCTCAAAGCACAGGTCCCTCCCTCGTCCGATCCTGGCACTTGCTCTGTCTGTTTTGGAGCCCGGAGCTGTGTTCACATCACTGCAATTCTATCGTGTGAGGAGGGGTTCGATTTTGTCCGCAGAGCTCCAGGGCAGAGGTTGAGGGTCAGATGTCTGGAAGATTTCAGAGGGGGCTATCTTGGCTGAATGTAAAGAAACGCTATGTAACAGAGCTGCCCAGCAATGGAATGAATGGACTGGGAAGGTGGTGAGCTCTCTGCTCTGGAAGGAGTTGAGGCAGAAATGGAGGACTGTCTGTAAGAGATGCTCCTGATGGTTTCCTGCACTGGGTGGGAGGTTGGACTAGGAAACCACCCATGTCCTTTCTGTTCCCATGTTCCTCATTGTGTTTGTTTGCTAAGGCTGCTGTAACAGAGTGTTACAGACTGGGTGCCTTAAACACAGAAATGTACTGTCTCACCATTCTCACCCTGTCTGGAAGTCCAACATCAAGGTGCCAGCAGGGATGGCTCCTCCTGAGGGCCGTGAAGGAAGGATCTCTTCCAGGCCTCTCTCCTCAGCTTATTGAAGGCTGTCTCCCTGTGTCTTCACATTGTCTTCCCTCTGTGCATATCTGTGTCCAAATTTCCCCATCTTATGCAGACACCAGTCATAGTAGATTAGGGGCCACCCTACTCCAGTATGACCTCAACCTAACTTAACCAATTACATCTGCAAAGACCCTATTTCTAAATTGAGATACTTGGGGTTAGGACTTTAGCATGTGAATTTTGGGACACGCAGTCCTGTTGCACACATTATGCAGGCCATGATTCTATGCCCTCAGAAGGGTTGGTCTTCCTGAAACAGTTAGGGCATTGCCAGGAAGCCTGCCAACTCACCTCAGGCTGGTCCACCATTGAAAAGCTCACCGTCTGCATATCATTGATCCTAGAAACTGTCTACTTTTCTCTCCAGGGAGCAGCAGGTGAAGAAGGGAGCCCAGGGCCAGCTGGCCTCAGGGGCGATCCTGGTGCTCCTGGGCTCCCTGGGCCACCCGGAAAAGGGAAAGATGGAGACCCGGTAAGTATCAGGTCCAGAGGTTTCTGTGCCCCTGACTACCAGGCTAGACTTAAAAAATAAAAACGAAAAAAAAGAAGACTCACTGGCCAAGGTTTGCAGAAACTGAGTGGTAGCCAGTGAAACTGGGCTGATTGGGAAAGGGGCATGGTGTGGGCGAAGCAGCGTGCTCTGGTGCCTTTCACGCAGCTCAATGTCATGCATGGACTGCTTGCTGTGTGTCAGGCTCTGGGCCAGGTGCTGGGGACACAGAGACGGTCTAGTGTCTATGATGTTGAAATGCTAATGACTTAATGGGGAGAACAGTCGTAGACACAGAATACTGGAGCTTGGACCAATCATGGGTGTGCACATAGAGAAGAGGTTTCTTGATCCATGTGTAAAGTCAGGGAAAACCTCACAGAGGAAGTAGCATTTGTGCCAAAAGTGAAAGTTGAGAAGAAATTATTTTGGGGCAGAACAGCACAGGGAGGAAGTTCTGGACAGATGGACTGTGTGTGCAAACGCGTGAGGATATTATGTACTGGGGACTGGCAAACATTTCATCATGTTTTGAATAGAAAGTGAGATGAATTAGTAAGTTTTGCTGTGGTAACAAAGAACCCCAGAATTTCAGTGGCTTTCAACTCTTAAGAAAAGGCCCTGTGTTACCTTTGACACCTGTGATAGGACTCCTGCGGCTCTACCTCACTTGTCTTCACATTCTGGGTCCCAGGCTCAAAAAGAAAACCATGAATAAAGGAGATGCTCTGTTTTCATAGCAGGGACACACAGTGGCTCTTAAAGCTTTTGCCTGCACGTCGTGTACATCATGTCCGCTCACATGCCACTGGCTAAAGCAAGTCACATGGTCAAGCCCAATATCAACAGGGCATGGATCATTTCCCCCCATGAGAGGTCTTGCAAGTCTATGGGGAGTCAATGGGCATGTATAAGTCTCTCACAGGGAGGGGAGTGAAGAATTGGGACCAATAATGCAATCTGCCTCAGTTTACCCAGGCCCACTCTGAGCCAGGCTCTGTGCTAGACTCTGAAGACAATGATGAATGTGACAGTCTCCCTCTCAAGAGCTCACAACCTCATAGAGAGGGACAGATGGACCAAGGTTCAAGTCAGACCAACTCGCTACCTGTGTGACCTTGGAGAAAGGTCTCAAATTCTCTGTGCCTAAATCCTTAATCTTTAATCCTGAATGTGAATTTCCTTTAATCCCCAAATTTGAATGATCCTAGGGCCTACCACTTAAGGAGTAAGTGAGATGATTCATATAAGTCCATAGTGCATTCCACTCAGCTAGCTGTCCTTATAGTAACTAGTGTAGCATTTTCTTGTACCAGGTACAAAGCACATTACACTTAATCCTCACGACTACCTTGAGAAGTGAGTGCTTGTCTTAGACTGCTTGGGCTACTATAACAAAATACCATTAACTAGTGGCTTATAAACAACAGAAATTTATTTCTCAGTTCAGGAGGCTGGAAGTCCAAGATGAGGGTGTCAGCATGTTGAAGTTCTCATGGAGGCCCTCTTCAGGGTTGTAGACTGCCAACTTCTCACTGTGTCCTCACATAGTGGGAGGGGCAAGAGATCTCTCTGGAACCTCTTTTATTATAAGAGCATTAATCCCATTCATGAGAGCTCCACCCTCATGACCTAATCACCTCCCAAAGGCCCACCTCCTAATCCATCACATTGGGTGTTAGGATTTAACACATGAATTTGGGGGGACACAAACATTCAGACCATAACAGTATCACTTTATTTTATAGGTAGGGAATATGAGGTTCAGAGAGGTGAACCGCTTGCCAAAGTCACATAGTGAGAAAGTGGGAGAGCTTGTCTGTGAACCCACAGGGACTGGACCCTGCTTTCTTTCTTCACTCTGGCCCTTTTAGCCAATACTTCCAAAAGTAGACTGTGATTTTAATTCTGGCCATGCATACTGTGTCAAGCAAAAGCCTTCAGCCTGAAATTGAAGACTTTTCCCATTGACTCCCCTACGTCTTGATAGCAAGGTCAACAAGAAAGAGATCAGGCTTTGGAATCCAATGAGCCCTACTTTGAAACCTAACCTTGCCTTGGTTGTTGGAGCCTATAAAATAAGGATCTGAAGTGGGAAAGCAAACTAAGAGACCAAGGGATTTGCTCAAGTTCACATAGAGGCAGTAGGTGGCAGAGTCAGAATTCATACCCAAGGATTTTGTGTCTCAGAACGAGGTTGTTTCCTTTGTACAAGACAAGTCATAGTGGTGCTAATGTGGGGGAAGATTCCCATCCATCTGTGGGCCCCCACAGCATAGGGTGCACACAGTTAGGCATGTGGTGGACAGGTAAGCGTTCACTCATGGTCCCATGATTGTCCTTGTATCATTCATTTCCCCAGGGACTTCGTGGACCACCTGGATTACCTGGACCTCTAGGAAGCAAGGTAAGTGTTTATCCAAGCAAATTGTGGATGCCATGGGTTTCGTCTAGAAAGAGGCCTTGGAAAATTTAATTGTAAGTATGTCTGGTCACCTCAATCCACTTCCACCTTCTTTGGTTCATCACATTCCACTTGACTAAAGGCTCTATGACTCTGAACTGTGGTATTTAAATAGTTGCTACACAATTGGTGCTTAATAAGCATCAACTGATTAAATGAAGTTGCAAAAGATGGTTTCAGCTGGCAGAGCAATAGATCTTAGCAGTCTTGTATTGTTAGTCTAATTGTGGTAACAGTTGATCCCCAAACTTCAGACTCTTAGCACAATAAAAGTTCATTTCTCATTCGCATTAAGTCTAATGGGAATTTTGGTGGATGGAGAGTTCTAATCCACACAGTCATTCAGGGACTCACACTCCTTCAGTCCAGTGAATATCCCACACTCTAAGACCTCAGTGTCTTCTACCAAATCCTTAGTATGCAGTGGTAAATGAGGGAAAACACAGTGGAGGATCTTGTGGAAAGATTTTAGGGTCCAGACCTGCCAGTGGTGATTCATTCCCACCAACCTCTTGACACTACAGGGGAGGCAGGCAGTCATCTAGCTGAGCCCCAAGGAGGAAAGGGAAACACTTGGGTCAATGCTAGCAGTCTCTTCCTCAATTCACTTGCAACCACAATTCAGAAAAGATGGCTTTGCCCATTAGGTAGTATTCTTAAGAGAACTTTCCTGAGTGATCAAGGAAGCTTTCCTGAAGTTATGCTTATACTGAGTCACTCATTCGTTGACTCATTTATGCATCAGTTACCAATGCATTTGTTATTTCGTTCATTGCACATCCGCTGAGCCTCTGCCACGTGTCAGATCTGGGGGTGGGCTGTGGGATGACAATGATGTATGTGACGTGTTCCCAGCCGTCCAACAGCTCAAAATGGATAAACAACCAGGCCAAAGCAGACAAGTGCTAGGAGAGAGGGAAGCTGGAACACAAGCGACCTTGGAGGAGGCTCCCTGACCCAGCCTACTTTGACTAGAAGGCTTCCTGGAGGAGGTGACATTTATCCTGATTTTCAAGTGTGTGTAGCAGTTGGAAGGGGAATAAAATGAGGAAGAAGTACTCTGCAGGGGTACTAATGTGGGGGAAGACACTGAGGCATGACATAGAATGTGTTCAGAGATGAGTCTGTACTGTAAATATGCCCACATTCAATGAAAAATTATTTGACCAATTCAAATACCTAAACTTCAGAATGTGGGTGAAATAGTCAATTATGGACATTAGAATGTTTATTCTTTTGCTTTAGTTTGACATATATATTCAAAAATCACATAAATGAAAGTGTTATTGTATAATTATCATATTATTTTTTACCTACTTGCATATAGTTATGAAAACAAATTTTTAGAAATTTGTAGAATGTGCCCTCAGTATTATTGCTAGCTATCCTGTGAGCCACTTTCTGAGTACACTAGCACATTTCTAAAGCACATCACCTTCCATCCCAGCTGAGTTATTTAAGCTCTTGGAATCCATATAGACTGCCATTACTGACAGTTCTGTCTCAAGCCCCAGATATTCATTTGCTTAATAATTGGACAGTTTCTCTTTTTTCCTTGTATTCTGTAGCTGTATCTTTGGGATCTCAGCCACATAATCACAGATTGTATTGCTTATTAAATTGTATGTAAAAGTCTTGTTTACAGTAATATCCAGGATATAAAATTTGAGGCTTCAGGAATAATTGCTGCCTCTACTTTAGACTTCTTTGTTTTGTGTTGTTTTCCCCTATTCAGGCAGCTGACCTCTAGAAGCATCCAAGCTTGTACTAATTGAGGTCATAGTAGGCTAATGTGCATCCCCCAAATAGTAATTTTATTGCTCACGATCAAAGTAAAAAGAAATGAGCAAGTTCTTTGAGTGATCTGAGCAAATACATAGCAACTCCTTATTTTCTGATTTAGGAAAACATTGGAAACAACTTGTCAGAATTTGGAGGCATATGAAATATTTCCATATGCCTGGTGCAGTGGGCATGTGTGGAGAGGAGCAGGGAGCAGGACCCAGGATCTGGAGAACCTTGTGAATTAACAACCAACCTAAGGAGTATGTCTGAGGTTCCTCTGTGATGTGGTGAGCCCAGCGTCTGACTGGCAGTGCTCACGTGCTTTCACTTTTCCCTCTAAAGGTGCAACCTTTGGGATCTAGAAGAAATTGATTGCCTCTTAGAAGAAAGGAAGTCAAGGGCACTAGAAGTGTTGTCTTAAGATGTTCTTTCTCTGTGATAATTATTTATGAGCTTAATAAAATCTATCTCCCAGGCACAGTTTGAGGAAAAAAATAAATTATATAATACAAATAAAAATAGTTGCCTAGCCTTGTGCTTGTCACAGGTACATGCTTAATAAATATTAGTGATCCTTATTATTAGATCTCCCTGTGGAGCCCACTTTGGGGTTGCAGCAAGAAGGTGAGGAGATAGAGAGGCCTTATCTATCCTTGCAAGCATGTTGTTGGAGAGAGAAAGCCCAAGCAGAAATGAATGGAGGCAGCATCGAAGAGTAGAGAGGCAGGCTAAGACCCTGGGGTGAGGAGTGCAGAAAGCCTTGACCTGGGGTCCAACTGACCAACCAGTTTCAACTCCATGGGACCCAGGGTAAGTCTTGCTGTCCCTTTGGCCAAATATCTCCTATTTAAAATGTGTAAACAGCTGACCCATTCCAATGTTGATATTATATACATTTATAAGTTAGAATGTGGTTTAGAAATAAAGGTTTCCTTAGTCAACTGGCATTGGGAAGGTAAGTTGGAATTCAGAGAAGTCTTTAGTTGGAGAATGGGGAGCTCAAGATGAGGAACGAGAGAGGAAAGAAGGGGAGATGGAGAGAGATACCAGAGGGAGCTCCTGCTGTAATCCTTGCCTTGGTGCTGTCCCTGGTGCTGATGAAAAGCAACTCCTGGAATTAAGGAAGGGAGCCATATAAAGGTTTTCACTGGCATCCCCTCAGCCCATCCTAATTACTTATAACTGCAGGAAGGCTCTTAAAGATGCCTTTCCTTCTCTTGGATGGCACTGCTTTCTAGCAGGTTTTGCCTTCCATACATAACTGGATTAGGATCCCACCTCAGCCTCCTACAAGATAGGTGACTTACAGCCTTATTCTTTCTGAGACTCTTGGTTCCTTTTCTGTATACAGGAGTAAAGCATATTTAACCTCCAAAGATCTCCTGTGGAGAGAAATGTTCTCATGGCACATAGTTGTTGCTCAATAAATGTCATTCTCCTTCTAAGACCCCACACTTCCTTGCTAATTTCTTCCCTGGACACTGTTGAAATGGCCCAGAATGTCTTGCAGCCAAAACAGGAACTAAAGTCAGTATTATAGAGTCTAGCTCATGTGCCCCTTTTTAAAAAAAAAAAAATCATGAGCCTTCTTGCTTTTGCTGACAGAGCATTAAGGTTTTTCAATCTTTTCTTGGGACCATTTTTTAAAAGTTTCAGTCCATTAAGCTACGAAGTGTTGTTGCTTGGGGAAAATGTTAGCATCACAATGGGCTATAAACATTCAGATGGAGCCAAGCCTGGCTACTCTGTGGGAGAGAACAATCCATGACTCAGATTCCAGGCTGGGGCGGGAGAGTTCTTTCTATCATGTTCCTTCCTCTGTAAAAAGCTGATTTTGGTCAAAGGCAGAATTTAGTACCTGACAAAATGTGAGTGATGATGAATTTATTTATTCCGGCATTCAGGCAATTGCTATTAAAGGCTATCACCTGTGCCAGGCCCTAAGCTGGGCATTGTGGATGCAAAAGTGTATAGATATTGTACTCAATGTAGGGTCTGACTCATTTTAGATGCTTGATGAATATTTGTTGAATAAACGTGTACATGAATGAATGGATAGTTTCTTTTAGTTGAGTTGAATAAATGGATAAATGAATGAATGGATAGATACTTTTAAGACACTTACATAGAAGTCAGAGGGTCAGACAGACAAAATGGGAGGGTAATGTGTTAAGATTAATGTATATACAAATGTCTGCAAGAGGACAGAGAGGAGCACCAGCAGAGGTGGGTTTATGGAAATGGAGTGATTGGGCTTAGTCTTAATTGATGGGTAGGAGTTTGGAAGCTTAGAACAGGGACAGAAGAACATCCCCTAAGGGGAACACCATGTGCAAGAAGTAGGGGTGTAAACAAACAGCATGGAAGGGTACAAATTCAGTGTTGTTGTGGTTTAGCTGGCAGTAGTTAGGGTTTGCTGATGTGCAAACCTTGGGAAGATGGGGAGCCAAGCTAAAACAGAAAATTGTAAGAAAATTTATACTAAATATTTTAAAGAGAAACTGAGGTGCAAAAGGATATGGATTTCTCTGATATTTATGGGTTTAGTTTATTTTCTGTCTTCTAATTCTGCTGATAAAATGATAATAATACATCTGTAATACTCACTGTTAGCATAGTCTCTTAGCTTTCAGATGAGTCTTTATAAGAGATATGGGAATGTCCTTTTTTTCCTAATGATAGAGGATCCTAAGGTGCAGAGAGGTTATGGGACTCACCCAAGGTCACAGGACTAGGTTGACATTGTCCTGAGACTGGACATAGGGTCACCTGACTGCCGGTTTGAAATCTTCCTACTTGATGCTCCCACTGTTGCAGTGTGCTGGTGACTGATACAACAGTGATCATACTCATTTTTAATTCATTATACTTTTTTCCATATTTCCCTCTTTTCTTGACTTCTCCTTTCCCAACCTTTCCCGTGCATTAAAGTCAGATTTTCTAGCAATCCCAAGCATCTTGTACTTCACAGAATCAGCCATATCACATTATTCCAAAGAAATAGAATGCACCATCTGGTACTTTGGAGAATTTCAGGAGGGGACTATTTACAGAAATGAGGCTGGGGAAGAGGGATGCTATGGCTCTTAGGAGTGTGGCCACCCCTGGGCCCAGAGAGACAAGGGGAAGATACAGTGTTACAGAGCCTAGTGAGAAGTTTGGATTTTGGTTCATCTCATTTGTGAGAACTTCACAAACCTTGTTTCTCCCAATTCCCGTGAACAAGATTCTCTTCAGAACTTAGCAGTGAGTTTTGAAAATGGACAGGGCCCATGACTGAGTCATCTTTTGGTCTTGGATCCTTGATCACTGCTCAAAATGAGTAAACAACAAACATTAGTTGAATGAATATGTAACTTATGTACTCATCTAAGAAATAGTCATACTGCAGGGAAAATAAACCATCTTAGAAGTATTACTTTTCTTAAAAGTCCAAAATGCAAAGTTTTCCAATTGAAATGATGGTTAGAAAGGATAAGCTGATTATTAATTGGACTTTTTTAATACTTAAAATCATAAACCTTAATGAAGCAATGTGTTGCCTAGCAATATCAGGTTCTACCTGAAATCAACTTGCTGCACATTGTCTCATTGGCTCTTCATAACAGCTTTCTAAGTCTCTTTCCATTTGTCATACAAGTTAACTCATGCCAGAGATATTAAGCTGCTTGAACAAGGTCACCTGCCATTTCAGTATTAGGCTTGGAGGCAGTTCAGCTGACCTAATATAGGTGCACAGTCCCTTACACAAAATTGTTGGGGCCATGTGTGTTTTGGATTGAATTTATTTTGTAACTTAGAAAGGTAGTAATTTGCAAACTATATATATATAATATTTACTCTGGTGTGAGGGGCAGTACTCGTAGTCAAGCTGGTTAATATTGATGCAACAGAAATGTGTAAATATCTGTACAGAATGGGATAACTAAAGATTGTAAATAGGCTGTGTCAGTACATGTCAGGTTTCGCTGCTGGGTGAGTTAGGATAAGCACTCGTTTTCAGAGATTGAAGGTTTTGAAATTGTGTATAAGAATGTATGACTCTGTCTCAGCTTCCTTCTGCGGGAAATGGCAAACAGAATCTCTTCCCCTTTTCTCTTTCCTTCTCCTTTTCCTCTTCCCATCAAAGTCCAGAATGACAGATACATGAGAACAGCAATAATCACAACAGCTACTTGCACTGAGTTAAGTGCAAGGCACTCTATCTGCATAATCTTGTTTAATGAGCACGGCATCTGTGGTCGTGGCAGCTGCTCTTCTCCCCTACCCCTTTGTAAATGAAGAAACTAAAGCTCAGGGAACTTGTCACGTTCTTAAATCAACAGTTAATAAGTATTGAAGCCAGAACTTAATCCCAGGCATCTGACCCCTACGTCCACGCTATACTAACCACTATGCTTAAAGGTGAATGTTGTACTCCATCATCCGTATCCCTCCCAACCCCTGGAAAAGTGCCCCACAAAATAAAGATACTTTACAAATTATTGGTGAATTGATGAATTAATTTTTCAGTAATTTGGAAACTGAGTTGAAATGTGGGTGCTTGTTCAAATCTGGGGTGTGGTCAGGTTGTGCGCATGAGGAGGTTTAGAGAAAGCACAGTAAAATGTATAACTGTGATCACACGGGGTGGGGTCATATTGTTATAATTGCATTTGAAGCCATGGTCAAGATTGGGGCACAGTCAGTCTTGCAAGCTGCATGATTGCAATTGGTGGCTGTGTCCATGCGTGGTGGTCTGGACAGAGTGATGGGCTGCTTAGGTGAACTGTCGGGAGCACGTGGGGTCCAGGTGCTAGATGAGAATGCATTTGGGACAGTGGGAGGAGCATAATTTCTTTTGTACCCTTGCCCTCTCCTTCCCAGAACTGACCTCTTCATCCTATTTTTTCTCTTTCTAGGGGGACCGAGGTGCACCTGGGATACCTGGCTCTCCCGGCAACCGTGGCGACCCAGGCATTGGGGTTGCTGGCCCTCCTGTGAGTCCTTATTCATCTAGCACTGCCTTGTTCTTGGACCACACAGCCATTCCCTGCTGGCTCCCAAGAATGTGCAGCCTGGGCCTTACTGCAGGGACACTCCTTTTCAGCTAATCTGGTAGTGGGTCACTGATCCCTGGGTCAGTCAGGGTGATAGGTTTGTCTACTGTGGCTGCCATTGTTACTAATTCTTACGGGTGTGTTTCTTATGGGTATAAGATTTCTAGGGAGACCATGACTTGTCTGATTCAAAGATGAGAGAACAAAATCATGGAAATTAAAAAAAAAGAAAAGACTCTTTGGCCAAACTTGGGAAAAAACTGAGTTATAGCCAGTGGAGCTGAACTGGCTGAGGAAGGGGTGTGATGTGGAAGAAACAGCCTGCTTTCATGTATTTAAAGCAAAAGTGAGTTCATTATCCCTCTTCCTCCAATTGGTCTACAGGTGAGAACATAAATGGAATCAAGAAAGGTTTCAATACAGTCTCCAAAATAAAACCTATGAAGTGATCCTCAAACTGCTAGTTTTGATGAATAATTCACATGAGTCTACTGGGTATGTTTGCAGACTCCCTGGAGGTGGTAACTTTAGGAATTGTAAAGCCTTTGAGCTGTAAGGGATGGTGAGGATCAATGATGTCTGGGCCCCCATCCAAGCTGAAGATTGCTTCCAATATCCTCAGCCAGCCTCCATCCTATTACCTGTAGAAATAGAAGACAAATTTCTTTCAAAGCTAGTACATCTGGATTTAAAATTTAGACAATTATTTCCATAGAGAATAGGCAATTATTAGAAATTTCTTTCCATAGAGAGTATGATATGATCTTCTGTATCTGCCTCCCATTGCTTCTAATTCTTCCCTTTGTACCACAAAGAGCATATGCCCCCCACTTTACTGAATGGCAACCTTCAGAATTTAAGGCAAGTTTTCAGTTCTGGGGTTTTATCTTCTTCTGTTTACTTCCTTCTTTGCTGAAGACACTATATCCTATTAATTCACCTTAAAATTACATTTCCTTTTCTTTTGATGGTTACATTCTCTTGGTCCATTTGAGCTGCTATAACAAAAATACCATAGACTGGTGCCTTATAATAACAGAAATTTACTTCCCACAGTTCTGGAAGCTGGAAGTCCAAGATCAAGGCACCAGCAGATTCAGTGTTGAGTGAGGGCTTGTTTCCTGGTTCATAGAAGGCCGTCTTCTCACTGTGTCCTCATGGTGGAAGGGGCAGGGAGCTCTCGGAGGTTTCTTTCATAAAGGCGCTAATTCCATTCACAAGGGCTCCACCCTCACAACCTAATCACCTCTCAAAGACCCCGCACTCAAATACCAGCACATTTGGGATTTGGTTTCAACATACAAATTTTGGGGAGGCACAAACATTCAGTCTGCAGCACCTGTCTTGCTATTATTTAAGAGAGGCTCAAATACCAAGTCCTTTTCAAATGCCATTGCTAAGCCTCATCGTATCCCTACTACCCATGTATTGTTGTTGTTGTTATTACTGTTATTATATTCACCCAGAGCACAATCTAACTTTACCCCTAATAAATGTGACCTGAGTATAAACCAGGGCAGCACATGGCCCAGTCTCTGCTTAGTTTTGCATTCAAGGAATGTAGACCACAACCCAAAATGATTAAGGTAATACCATTCTTCATTTGTGTCTCGAAGAATTTGACAGGAAATCCAATTTACTACCCACAGTATCACTTGTACAATAATTTCCTTCCATCTGTGGCCCTCTTCCATCCCAGAGTTGGTCTTGGGCCTCTCACTCTCTCCCTGAAATTCTCCAGGGCACTCTCCTCTCTGCCCTCCCACTCTCCTGCATGCCTCATTCCCCACCGGAAATGGCCACCTCACTTCTGCTCCCACTCCCTCGGGATGGGGGCTAATTTCAAGATGGTAGGAAGACCCAGTGGCTCTGTTTCTCCTAAATGTCCCTGGAAACACTGGAAGAAGACATGTAGAATCCCCTGGGAAATGTCTAGTTTTAGTCCAACTGTTTTTTCTTTAAAAAAACGCTTATCTAGGATTTCTGATGAACAAAATCCTCCACTTCATTACATCAACTTTGTCTTTTGTCTTTGGCTGTGTTTTCATCATTTGGTAACTGGAAGAAACAATATGGCAAAGATGCAGTGAAGAAACACAGGTGTTCAGGCTTTCTTATTTCTGAAATCTTCCTTTTAATGGGGCCTGATCAGCTGGAGTTAGGATTCTGAATCAAGCAGGAATTACCCCTTAGGGTAGAAAACTGACTGTAAGTGAGACTGCAGAACTATAACCTGGGTGTGGTCCTCCCCATAGTTTAGCAAAGTTCTATGTGTTCAATCTGCTCCCCGAGGATTCACCACACCAAGCCCTTAATCAGAAAGCCAGACACAGAGGTGGACACAATTCACCCCACCTGCCACATGAGAGCCAGTTAAAATCACCATGAAATATATTCCTGCCTAAGTGATTCCACCTGAAAAGTAATTGGCTGGCTTCAGCCAGGAGGCTGTAAGTCAATGGTTTAGTGTCTCTCCTCCACTTCGCCTTATTAAAAGCTTCCGAAGTGGATGAAACCTTATTGAATTTTCATAAATCCTGTCTTTGGCCACTAGCCTAGGCTGCTAATGGCCTGGGAATCTGCACGGAGGGTTCAGGCCTGTGCTAGAGAGCAGGTGTGTGGAGAAGGGATGAGGACAGGTGTGTGAGTTCACAGGGGATGCATTTGCCCCTTTACAGGGTCACTGCCATTTGCTGAGTGGTTCTGTGTCTCGTCCTATGCTGGGTCTAGAAGCACCACATCCACTACCTCCTCAGTCCTGTGAAAAATGTTTATCACTTGGTGAAGGCTGGGATCCTGCAGAAGCAGTCTCTGAGAACAGGATTCAATGGCAAGCAGTTTATTTGGGAAATGATCTCAGAATTCACCACATAAGGAGTGGCAACGTGAGGGAATGGAAAGGAGCTAAGGGAGGATGTGTTGATGAACAGGTGTCATATGTGAAGACTCCCACAAACTGTATGGTGCAGTTGGAGAGCTGTTCTATGAAAGGGGTGGCAAAGTTGGGGTGTTAGTGTACCACCTTCTGTTGGTCATTGGTTGAAGGCTGCTCCCTGTGGAGCTGACTCCCAAGAACTGTCAGTTTGCCCTGCACTTGGGCCAAGCATCTTCCAGTAATTATAGAAATCCCTGGGGCAGGCACCTGCAGCAGGGAGCTGCCATGTTGGTGGATGTCCAGGGAATTTGGAGGGGGCCACTGACTGTGTCTGCTACATCATTCTTTTCCAGACAAACAATCTGAGGTTCAGAAGGTAAGGTGACTTGGCCAATGTCATATAGCTAATCCAGGGCCAGGCCCAGGACCAAGGCCAGGGCAAGGATGCAGATCACTTCCCACATCCTCCAAAACCAGTTCTCTTCCTCTGCAGCACCTTGCTTTGTGGCTTCAGCAGGATGAGCAGGATTATTCATTTCCATTAAGTTCTCGCATTAAGGACAGATCAGGTTATAAGTTATTCCTCCTTTGTGGTATTATGCTCCAAGGCCTTTGGCATCCAGGAGCAGTGCTGACTCCCTGGAAGGGAGCCCGGAGCCTTCTCTGCCAACCTCTGCACCATCAACAGTCAGGGATGGGGAAGAAGTTGTTTAGAGTTTTGACTTCCCCTTTCAAGACATTAAAAAACCCTTTAATCTTCAGGTTGCCTCTGATCTTCCTTTAGCAAGGTTCGAAATGCTTAAAAACAATCCCACTTAGGCCTCAGAGCAGATCAAAGTGCTAATGAACCTCGCTGAACCCAGAAGCTTGAGGTCTCCAAGGGCAAGGTTACCTCTGACACTGTGTATCCCAAGACCCGGGCCATCCAACTCTGACCATTAGTTTCCCTGTGGATCAAGTGCCAGCACTTCTGTAGCAGCATCAGGAGTGTTGGGAGGATTACAACATGGTAATGTTGGTGATAACACCTGATACCCTGCCTTTGACCTTAAGATGTCATAAAAATCCTCCCCCGACATCTTTCTCAGCCTAACATCGCCTCTCCCTTCTTTCAGCCTTTCCCTTTCCTTCCTGGAGTCACTTGTGCTGAGGCCTCATGTGGCCTAGGCACTGAGGGGCCACATTCAAACAGGAATGGCTCACTGCCCTTACTAGACTTACAGCCTGGTGGAGGAAAGGAGCGTGGAACTGATTATGTGCAATCAAACAGGTCAAGTGTCCAACCAGAGGGTTTGTTATGTGTCTTTGGCAGTCCCCATCTTCTGGGCAATAATATAATATTAATAGAGATGAAAGACACTGAAACAGAGTAATAATTATCACAGCTGACATTGGCTGCCTCTTGCAGGGGCCAGCCATGAGCAAGGCATCCACATACGTTCTCTCACTTATCTCAAGGGCATTCTCCCGTGTACTCTTCCCAGCAACCCTACCAGGCGGATCCCAGTGTCCTGTTTGTTTTAAAATAAGGAAACAGTCTTAGAGATGTGAGACCTCTTGCCTGAAGTCACAGTTAGGGCCTGGGAGAGCTCGGATTGGAGCCCTAGCATTCTAACTCCAAGCAGACGTCCTTCACCGCTCTCAGAGCGGGGCACCAATAGTGAGGGAAGTTCACGTCCACAGTCTTTTCACTTGCCAGTGTCTTCTCCCATGCATTATCGCTCCTGAACTATGACTTACAAGTCTAGCCTTGTTTTTTGCTATGTCTTATCTGCCTGTTTAGTCCCAGTCCTTTTGATATAGGAACTAGAGAGCCACTCAGGCTGTCCCAAGAAGTAGACTGGCCAGTTGCCCTTGGGAAGGAGTATGTGCAGCCAAGTAGCCTCCTCTTGTCTGGTGGCTACCTGGGGACAGCAGGCATTTCTCAGTCTTTACCCCAAGGCTGATGCTCAGGAAATGTGCAGGGCTTCATTCGCTGACATGCATGCTCATCCTGTTGCATACACAGAGAGCAGTCCTGTGGGCAGCAGGAGGAGGTTGGGAGGGGATAGACAGTGCACCCCTC